ATTCAAACTAAGTAGGATGAAAGATAAAAATGATAGTAACATGAAACTGTCGTCATGAGAGGATCAGTGGGAAATAACATACAACAATTACCACCTGGAGTTTCCCAGAGGATCATCCATTTCAAAGACTGAGGTGGAATGTCGGATCTGTCCCAAGCACCAAGATCTTCCTTAGGGCACTCCAATCATTAGCTACAACCAGCCTGGCAGTGGTTTGGAAGCTCGTCCTGCCACAAGGAATCTGTCCTCGGCTTTTCAGCAGCTGGATTTAGATGTAACTATATGGTCATGTTGCTAGGGTTTTTAGGCGGCGAGAAAGACAAAGTTCTGCCAAAACGGCCCGCTCTAACACCTGCTTGCTGACCTGAAGTAAAATGGCTGGCAATCTTGTCTCACTGCGGGATTTCCGGTGTTGGCCAGGGTTTTCCACGCTACGTTGCCGAGTTACTAGCCGTATATTTTTATACGTGAAAGCTCAGGGGAATTACAAGTAGGACAATGGAAAATCCCCAAACAGCAACCGTAGGCTATAACCGGGATATCTCTCAATGCGTCTTATGACGAAAATGAAGTCACTGGGCGCATGTAAGAGAGAAAAATAGAAGGGTCACAAAGGGGTGGTATGTCAGCCAAGTATCTTGTCTACTTTAAGCGGCGTCTCGCGACAGAAGCCCCCCTTTCGAAGCTTTCTGTAAGAACGCTAAGATCGCTGTCAAGTAGAACAAGAATACCAGACTACCACTTCCTGGCTCCCAAGACTTCCACTGGTCTGAATTTCCAGTAGTCTTTATGACAATGTCTTGTCCAGTAGATGTGCTTAAAATGCATGCACCAGTGGTGTACTGACCGTTTGTCCGGAGGTATTGCATCCCCCAGAATCAATGATTTCGTGGGTCTGGATGCTGAGATACCAAGGCCAACCTGATAACAAGGCTTAGCCCACACTGTACCTAGATTCTGCCCTATCAAAAGAGGTAGAGCTTGTAGGGGCTGCTTGTATGGAAGAGTCACAGTGCAACTATCTTCCGCTATTCTCCTCCACCGATTATCAATCTTAGTACATTCTGTCACTTTCCTTTTGGTATAAGGGATGGCGTCCATCGGGGTACCATGAGGTTGGCGCAGTTTACCACTGACTCTTTCTTGGTAGGGGGTCAACTTGTCCCCTCCTGTGTGCATTCTGTCCTCCCCTTCATAATTTATCGGGGTGAGTTTCTCATGAATAGAGCTCCTTTCGGAATAAGAGCACAAAAGTAGTTCAGTAAATACAGTCACATCAGTCAGAAGTGGTTCGTTTTCTGAAGATGCTAAGGTGGTATTGCTTCGGACCGAAGCTTCTACCGGCAGCTGAGTTACTCCTGTCGCATCTTTCGAAGTGAAGAGTACTCTAAGACCAGAGTGTTTGGTTTCCCTTTTACTCTTGGCTTGTTCAGCCACAATGTCCTTCATCTGAAGTTCCCCTGTGGTGTCAGCTGCACAGGCAAGAGATAGGCTCTCTCCCTGCCCAAAAGAAGTACATTCTTTTGTGTTGATGGCAAACAGTGCTGTTTGACCATTTTCAAAGTTAATAAGGCTTACAGGAATTTCCTGCTCATCAAGAGTTTCCTTCCCAGAATACTCTGCAAAGACCTCAGGGAAAGTATCCTCTGTGTCGGTTATTTCCTCCCTGGTCAAGCTTTTATGGGCCAAGTCCAGAGGGAGTAAATAAAGTTGAGTGCTGCTGCCATCACAGTCACCCATCTGGGATGCCAAATCAGAACTGATACTCATCTCCCTATTGCATGTGGCTGCATCAAGGGAAATGAAAGAAACAGATTTACTGTTATTCTCTGTACCCTGCTGCCATGATTCCACTTCTTGTTTAACATTACTGAAGGGCATCATAGAGTCACTAAAAGTGCTACCTTCACTTTCATTATTGGCTAGTGTCCCAGTCAAACCGCCATGTTTACGGTTCCAGCAGTTATCACGTTGGTGGCTGCTGTTCGATGTGTTCGGGGTCCTCTTAGTCCTACACTTCCCTTTCGGAACATGCCGATTCCCTTCTTTCACTAAGGAACATAAGAAGTTAAATGAATCGGATGTGGTGTTTGAGGTTCGTCTGTCACTGGTATGACGATTAAGGGTGCCCACGGTACACTTTCTCTTTCCATGATTCCATTTAGGCTCAGGAGGAGTCTCCTCACTTTGCTCATCTGAGTTAAGGGGAGTAAAGGGGTTCAGCAATGTGGATCTGCTCCCTTTTGAAGATTTCTTTGTTTTCTGTCCTCGCTTCCTTGTGGGGACAGGAGGCTTCTCATTTTGCTTATCAGGGCAATGGAGAATACAGGGGTTCAGCAATGTAGATCTGATTCCTGTCAAAGAATTCTTGATGTGCACTCTTTTCCTATAAGGAATAAGAGAGGTGAGGCAAGGTCTTGGGTGGTCTATTACTTCATCATTTGATGAGGTACCATTTGGCGCAATAGTACACACCTCTCCATTGAGAGAGTGAGTCCCTGACCTTTCTACCAGAGTGTCAGTATGGGAGTTGTCAGTTCCCTCAACTACCTGGATGTTGTTCTCACCGTTCCCTGTGTCTAACTGCAGTTCTCTCTTCTTTGTCTGCCTAAGTAGTCGATAGTTATGCAGCTTTTCTTGAAGAAGCTTCATTCTTTTGACAGCTGCATCCTCTTGGAGTTGTCTAGCATCTTCTTCTTCTTCAAGTTGCCGTATTCTCTTTTCTTCTTTCCCCTCTCCGCTGCATGACGAGCAAGCATTGAGTCCCATTCTTCCTGTTCGCGTTGTATGAACGTTGTTAACTCTTGTCCTCTATAGCCCCTTTGTGCACCAAAAATCCTTGCATTTTCTAAGAACCTGGACCGGCGGTCCATAATGTCTAGATTGTTCATTTACAAAGCAAGAGAAACTGATCACATGCAGGACTAACCAGAAGAGTATTTATAGTTGAAGGGTTGGGTGATAGAATAGAAAAAAAAGGAAAACTGACCACAGCAGTAAGGAGAACGTTACTGAAAATAATGCAAGTAATCAAACATTACTGCACAGCAATCAATGACACATTAAATAAACTTAACAGTAATGTCAAATGATAGAATGTCAACATAAAAATGATTTACAATCAATATCAAATGCTAAAGCAGTCAAGATTGGGAAAAAAAAATTCTCAGACTACTTCCTAATTGTGATATTACACTAATTAAGGTAAGTATAAACAGTTCATATTTTTTACTATCATTTACTTAACAGTTAATACTGCCACTCTTCAAACCCTAATTATGTAAGTCACTATTATAAAAAATGGTGCCTGTAATCTAGGGAATGTAAAAGTTTTTTAAGTATTTAAAAAAATTTATGAAATAAAATTTCAATTGTCTAGGGTTTCCCGGGTTTTAAATAACAGGCGCCGACACACTTGTGTGGCCTCAGATTATTATTCCGGAGAGCGCCTCACTTGTCGTGGAACAGGTTCCTTATACACTCACTAAAGTGGTGTTATCTTGTTAGAAACCGAGACAACTGTCTTTTGGTGCAAAGAGCAGACAGTGTCCCTGGATACTCAGATACAGACTCGAATTGGCTCGCAAAAGAAGGTGAGCTGCCTGAATATCCCCAGAAAAGGGATAAGGGAATTTAGATGCCTAAACACTTAGACAGAGCAGATTACCCCTCCCGACAATTTCCCTTTCTGGTAGTAAAATTAAGCCCCCATCTAGACTATGTATATTGGTAGACAGCACTGACACCATACATACATCTAGAAATAGAAATAAACTTTAACTATGAGTTTAAATCAATCATAGGAATGTTTATTAAAATTAAAGTAAAATTCAATCATCTATTTACTTTTGAAAATACATTATTCAAACTAAGTAGGATGAAAGATAAAAATGATAGTAACATGAAACTGTCGTCATGAGAGGATCAGTGGGAAATAACATACAACAATTACCACCTGGAGTTTCCCAGAGGATCATCCATTTCAAAGACTGAGGTGGAATGTCGGATCTGTCCCAAGCACCAAGATCTTCCTTAGGGCACTCCAATCATTAGCTACAACCAGCCTGGCAGTGGTTTGGAAGCTCGTCCTGCCACAAGGAATCTGTCCTCGGCTTTTCAGCAGCTGGATTTAGATGTAACTATATGGTCATGTTGCTAGGGTTTTTAGGCGGCGAGAAAGACAAAGTTCTGCCAAAACGGCCCGCTCTAACACCTGCTTGCTGACCTGAAGTAAAATGGCTGGCAATCTTGTCTCACTGCGGGATTTCCGGTGTTGGCCAGGGTTTTCCACGCTACGTTGCCGAGTTACTAGCCGTATATTTTTATACGTGAAAGCTCAGGGGAATTACAAGTAGGACAATGGAAAATCCCCAAACAGCAACCGTAGGCTATAACCGGGATATCTCTCAATGCGTCTTATGACGAAAATGAAGTCACTGGGCGCATGTAAGAGAGAAAAATAGAAGGGTCACAAAGGGGTGGTATGTCAGCCAAGTATCTTGTCTACTTTAAGCGGCGTCTCGCGACATGTTGTCTAGTGTGTTCTTCTATCTTTCTACTGCTTTCTATAAGTGCCGATCAATACACTTTCTGTTACTTAATTAATTCATAATACAGTCTGAGGAGAATGGTGCATCGAGGAGGGACCGGGGGATCTGGCCGGCGCCCAAAGCTCAAGAGAAAGACAAGATGGTTATACAATCAAGACTGATACTGGGGACACGAGTGCTTATGAGAATTCCCGAGTGCTCTAATGTCGATCTTTAATTCAACATTTATTTATGACCAAATATTTCACTTTTCTCCTTAAATGACATTACATACTAAATGTTCTATTAATACTTTCGCTGTGGTTTTTTTTTTTTTTTTTTCAGAATTGGAACTTGAAAAAATACTATTAAATACACAGAAGGAAAATACCCACAAGTATCAAATTTTGTAAAAACTGAAAGCGGCCGGAATAGTTTCTTCTAAGAAGAAACAACTGCAACATACCAGCAATGGATACGAAGACGGAAACAGTGAACCACCTAGAACAATTTAGCAAAGGAGTTAACATGTTCAGGGATAGAGCAATAGAGGTGAGTTATTTCTTGCTTAAATTTCGTATTGTAAGTTGTGTATCTTTATCACCATGAAATGCTGAACTAGACAATAACATAAATTCCGTATTTTAAGTAGTGCATCTTTATCACCATGAAATGCCGAACTAGACAATGACAGACACTGGTATCATCTGTCAAATACGTATGTCGCAAGAACTGACTTCACTGCACAGGGTTTTATCACAGGTAGCTTTTTCTCTCTCCGCGAATGGTTAGCAGAGTGTCGAGTACCTCGAACAATGCATGAACTCAGTAGCTCCAGTGATGATCCTCAGGGATTTCCCTTAACACTGCACACGTGAACTGAACGACGCAGTCAAGAATCGAACCCGCTAATACATAACTCGATACACACGCCTTCGCCATTTAACTGCTGTGATTCGCAAAGGGTCAAGTGACCTGCTAATGGATATGGGTGCTTTTTTTTCAGTTATCGCTTTATACATTTTATGTTCGTTCAGATATGTTATTATATTTATTTGCGAATCAGCACATAATAGTTATTATTACTGCGCACTTAGACTAGGCTTACGTCTTTGAAATCCACCCAAAAAAACTACTCTGAGAGGGGAATTAAAGGTCGAAGCTACAACCATGTAGAAGACATAGGGGGACGGCATGCGTAGGATATAACGACTTGGCGTGAGTTGGTTAAAGGTCTAAGTTCCATCAAGGGGTAAATGATAGAAGAAGAAGAAGAAGAAGAAGAAGAAGAAGAAGAAGAAGAAGAAGAAGAAGAAGAAGAAGAAGAAGAAGAAGAAGAAGAAGAAGAAGAAGAAGAAGAAAAAGAAGATGAAGAAGAAGAAGAGAGGCAGAAAATGAAGAAGAAAAAGAGCAACAACAACAACAACAATAACAACGACAACAACAATAATAATAACAACAACAAGAAAAAGAAGAAGAGAAGGGGAAGAAAAAGAAGGGGAAGAAGAAGACGAAGCAGCAGCAGTTTGACGTTAGTTCCTCAACGTACTATTCTGTACATTTGTTAAAATCCACGCAGAACTGTCACCGCCCACAACCCCTATTGTAACGGATGTGTTTGTGTTATGAGTCTGTGTAAACATCACGTAAATCTCCCCAAACAGAGTTGAGCCACTTTTCATTCACAATTTTGTTAGACTGTTCGACTTGATGAAGGTTACGGGTGTGTCTGGCTCTATAGTTTGCTTTCTGTGTTGTCTTCCAATTAACTTTTTCATTTCAAGAAAGAAAGAATGCGTGTGACATAGGCTGCAGCACTCTCTAGAAAAAAAAAAAAAGGGCCAGTGCTGCATGTTTTTGGAGCGTTAAAAACGCTGGCAAGCTGAAATTTACAAAACGCGATATCAACGGCATCCCCGAACACACCCGTAACCTTGTGCGAAGGTAACAGGCACCGGAACTACTAATCAGAAGTGACCCAGTGTGTATATAGACGGGGCGTGGGGAGATTTGCGTTATGTTTACCTGAGTCTTACCTTGTTTCCTTATCTGTCAGTTTCGTCAGTAACAACATCTATTAATTTCAACTGTTTTCATATATTGTTTTAAGCATTCAGTCGTGCGAGTAGGAAAAATTGTTAATATTTACCCGTCTAGTTTATCTCTTTTTTGATCACATTAAATTCTCGCTGTACAAAGAAAAGTATCTGGTTAGTGAGCGCGCCGCTCCGTTGACTGGTGTTGTTTGCTTTATCGATAGGTGGACCTCTTTGAATGTTGATGCTTGTATGAAGTGAGAGAAAACAAACTACTCCAGACTTAACCGGTGGGTAATGGTAATGTCCAATGAAATATAACTAACGTTTGAGGTTGTAAATGCAGCTGACTTTGCTTTCCAGTTACCACGAGAAGCTCAATATTCTTTTAAAGAAAACCAGTGCTTTATTAATATCCTACTCCAAACACGGGAAATCCACAGGTCACGGGACAGTCTAATATTTCAGGGGATGGTAGATAGGCTGCATGCAGTCTTAGGACCTAGGCTGCATGCATTCGTGGCACCTAGGCTGCACTCTCTCGTTGGACGTAGGTGGGTTAGGGCCAGTTCTATATGTTTTTGGTTCGTTAAGAAAATCAGAAAGCCTGGAAACCCGGTCTTACTACCCCCTTAAATGTAGGACTGTTCTGTGACGTCATCTGAGGGTAGGATATTAATAAAGAACCAGAAAACCTCAATAATAACTGCAACATATGCATTCTGTTTCAGATACTGGTGTTCATACTATTCAGAATCACCCGTCGTCTGGTATTGACCTTGCAGAAATTCACCTGGGCTGTGACCGGGGTCGAAAGCATTCGCCGAGACGCTGCCAGAGGCCTGCAGTTCAAACAAAGCGCCCATGTCCAGGAGATATTCTGGAAAAGAAAATATCTAGAGCATTCGGTAGCGGACGCCAGCAACTTCATTACTACACACTGTGGCTTCAGACAGCCCAGCTGCATCCTGAAGCCAAACGTGTCTCTGTACTGTATGACGAGAAAGGAGGCTGTCTTCATAGAGGTGAAGGAGTCTGTCAACGTGTACAGATCCAAAGTCAGTACATATTTGTATCACAACCAATACCATCATGCAGTCAACGTCATCACAATGCCACTGGCATCGTTTCATAAAGTGGCCAGTGATGTTGGACTTCCGAAAGTGCCTGTTACTTGCTTGGCTTGCACTGCAAGGAGTGGGTCAACTTTGCTTAGTCAGGTATTTATTTGAATAGCCTTTTTATGCTCGTGTCGTGTGGACTGCTGTTTTGCAATTGTTTTACATTATATATTGTGACGGCTAGACACTCGCGTGCGGATCGGAAGGTCGTGGGTTCGCTCTCTGGCGGAGCCGGATTTTTTTCAAAAAAAATTACCTTGACTCCCATGTCAACCCAGCCTTCAGTGGGTACCGGTTGCAGTCCTGGAAAGTATAGGCGACCGGCGTTTTATGCTAACCACACCACTCATCTTGTGCCGATTGGTCTAAAAAAAATAGGTCCAGCCCTATATGCCTATACGTCTAAAGGCGTGGAAAAGGGACCTTAACTTTACTTTACTATACTACTTTATTGTGATACCTCCCATATTGTATTACTATTAATTGTCTCGTTATATCTTCATGTTGTATTCTATTTGTTACTGGGTAAATTGACATTTGTGTGTTTAATTCGGTCTTGCTGTGTGGAACGTTTTGTAGTGCCTTCTATCTTGTACAGTGGTGCCTCTTCTTATGAACCACTCTGCATACGAACTTTTCAATGTACGTATATTTTTTTTTTTTAATATCCTATTCCGACATCTGCATTCGAGCCTAGAATAGAGATAGAACCCGTGATGCACTGCGCTTGGGTGCATGTTTGTTATTATTTATATAATAAAGAAGGAGAAAACTGGAGTACATCGTGACACTAGGAAAGTTGGAGGTAAGGAGATGCAGAAGGAGACCGAGAGAGAAAATGCTGGACAGTTTGACACTATGGCATGGAGGATCATCTTTGTCAGAGTTAATTGAAAGTACTCAAGACAAGGCTGTGGATAGACATGACTACCAACGTCACACGGCATGGACTTTAAGAAGAAGAATACAGCGTGATGAGTGGTGTGTGTTCCACGCGCGCTGCACCTACATATTTGTTTCTATAATTTGTGTGTGTATATCTATTTCGGTATTTGTTTAATCAAACTTAAAAATTAGTTTAGACACTTACAGGGGCCGTTATGGGCAAATATTTCTAATTATTAATTAGATATCGAATAAAATGTCCAGTGTGAGGCCAGAGATAACTAGGAGAGAAAATAAAAACAAAATCACAGAAGAAATAAAGAAAGAGGTTGTCGAAAAATATGAGAGAGTAGTCAGGCAAGTGATTTGGATAAGCAGAATTGCATGTCCAATTCCACCATATCTACAATTCTTAAGAAAGAAGCTTTTTAAAAGTAACATGATGTGGTAAAGTGAGTATCTATCGTGTCATCTAGAAAACAATTAAATTATGGTAAAAATAAGGACTTTACAACTTGTCTCGATTAATTATATTTAACTGAAAGCAGATAGTGTATTTCAAAATATGATCCGTTTAAACGCTCTAACTGTTTTCGAAGATCTCTCACTGTACCTGCCATCCAGTAAGTAGCAAAGACGTCGGTGAAGGGTTCAAAGCTAGCAACGGTTGATTTGGAAAATTCAAGAATGGAACCGATATCCACAGTGTTCTTAGACACGGAGAAGGTGCTCGTACTGACAAAGGAAAAAAAATTAAGCCGGTGGAGTTTTCGTGAAGGAATTTCAGGAACTGATAACGTCAGTTGGTTACAGACCAGAACAGGTTTTCAGCTGCAAAGAAACTGGACTTTTCTGTGGATATAAGGGAAAAGGGAGGGGGGTTGAGTAAGAGAAAGCCCATCAGTAAGGAGAACTTGGCTCTGCTAGGACACCAGCCGATGCAAGAGAGACAGACTTTGCTCTTTTGTGCTAATGCCAGTGGCGATCCAAAGAGTAACACTCTGAAGGTTTACCGTCTGTTAGTTTATCACTTTGAAAATCCAAGAACCTAGGCATAACAGAAAGTTGTGGGTTCGTTCCAAGTTTGAAGACAAGATGAAGATGATTCACTCTCCTTAACAATATGTATATAATTTTCTTTAAATAAACGTTATACATAACATTTTGTGAGTATATTTTTGACATGGAACGCATTATCGTATTTTACATTAATTTAAATGAGAAAATGTGTTTCGCATAACGGGCGTTTCGCTTTACGAGTATGATTCTGAAACGAATTATGCTCGTTAAGCGAGGTTCCACTGTATATATATATATATATGTTTAATTCACTGCCCTTTATCATCTGATGTCAAGTGCCATCATGTACTTCTTATCTTGTACCATTTCTCATCTGGTCTTGCTGCAATTCTAAAAAATCATGTTCTTTCTTAACCTACGTCATTTCACACATTGGTCCACTGTCTTGCAGAATTAGCTTGTTATGTAACCTTTTGCATTAATATAATATCATTTTGTCTTATTTTATGCTTTCTGCATTATTTCTTTGATTTCTCGCCTTTCTTCCAATATCTTCCGATTCGTTGAACTTGTAATTTTTACTTCTGTTTCCGTGTAATATGTGCCTATGATTCAGTATTTTCTAGCCTTTCTGTCACAGAGGCATTCTGTAATTTTATTAATGCCATACAAATTTTTATCACATTCTCCGTGTGAGTTCTGGGTCCCATTTTGTGGTGTTAATTAGGGGTAGTATGTTTTTATATCATAGGCCAAGTCGTCCCCATGTAGAATGAAAATTTTTTTTTTTGAAGCCCCACCCTGGCTTTTGCCGGGGGCCCTGAATATAGCAGGGTCATAAAAATGACCTAATGGCTGAAAGGGGTTTTGGGGAGCTCTCCACGGGAAAACCTCATCCGCATGGTAGCACTTTGTAACACCGGGTTTATATCGCTTGTCTGATTTTTCCTGGTGGGGTACAACAAGAGAGAGAGAGAGAGAGAGAGAGAGAGAGAGAGAGAGAGAGGGGGGGGGGATGCTATGTTTCCCTTCAATTAAGAGTACACATTAAGAGAAGCGATGGACCAACAGTCTGCATATAAATAAGCCAGATTTGTTGTGGGTTTTTTTAAACGCGCACACAAACTTAAATTCTGGAGCAAGACAAAAGTCCAGAAGAGGATGAACTGCCAGAACTTTCCACCGGAGTTTACAGCTGTGAAGACTAAGAAGAAGAAGTTGTTATGCGTTGTCTTAACGTTTGATTCGAAAAACGAGATAATTTTGCCAAATTTCCTGCTGTTAAAGAAGAAAAGGTAGTATACCTTGCAAGCATTTAGCAGACATTCTGACTTCGGCCGTTTAATTGGTGATCAAATAGAAGGAGAAGAAGAGCCAAAACTGTATTACTTAAAAATGAAAATTGCTAAAGCACTGAAATTATACAGTCTACCCGTTTTCTATTTGCCGTTTCAGATGATGTTCAGAATCCCAGGGATGCTTGTATTGTCCGAGCCAGATGCTATCACAAGCCTTAATTTTCTGTATAAGAACAAAACGATCCAGATGAGTGAATACAAGCAACTCCTTGCCAGCTGTGTCAAGCTGCTGTGTAAGCCTGACGACCGTTACAGCGCAGTTTTTGTGAAAGCCAGGCCGTGTACCACCAATGTTTTGGAAGATATTTGTCTAGTCTTTACCAAATTTCGATACCTCTTTATGTATAGAAACAGTGTCAAAAGTGTCATGTCAAATCTTCATCAGCTTCAGCAAGATCCGGCTCCAAACTGTCTCCGTTTTGTAATGGACAGCGTTGTTCTATCGGCAGTGCTCCCGTTTGTCAGGTCCTACTTTTATTATTATAACGTTTTTCTGAATGAGAAAAAGGTCCCAGGGGTCGATCCGAAAAAATTAGGTAGCGTTGGGATTCTGACTGCTGCTTGGGCAGCCAGTGTTGCCCAGTGCTCCGATCTGAGATACAAAGGTTACAACGTAGGCTCTATCTTATACGAAGAGTTCATGAACAACCCCAGACGCTCGTTGTCCGTCCTTCTACAGCGCCTGGACATCAGAGGAGAGTATCTCAGCTGTGCTGCAGAAGCACTGAAAGTAGATTTCAACAAAGGAGCAGCCCATGACTTGGCCTTAGATTATCGACGCGCCCTGTCACCAGAGAGCAGACAAGAAGCAGATAACATTCTCAAAGCATACGGGCTTCCTAAACTGGGCGAGAGATATGAGCTTCCTGGGTTACTAAAGTTGGAATGAAATTTAGCTGTAGATGAATAGTTCATGTGTGTTTGCCCTAGACTTGTGCCTACTTATTTACCGATTAGAACACAGTGTATATAAGAAATCGATACCAGGAATGTTTGTAATCATGTTAGTTATCTCATGGACATCATGGCTTCATCTCACCTTGGTTCTTTTGCTCCTCTCCTTGTCTAAATGAAGTATAAATAGCAGGAGAGTGCTTTTTTTGTAAGCTTTTAACAAAGTGGTTCACAGATACTCTCTTACTTCATATGTGCATCGTTTACATGGTCGAACTCTCTTTCAGCTTATATTGATCCGATTGTATAACTGTTACCTATAAATATATTGAGCTCAAGTTATAATAAGGTGTGACTCTGTGCCTCAGAGGTTAGTGAGAGTGTTTAACAATTTATGGATTCTCTAGTACTGCCTTCTTTTTGCTATGGAAAGGGTTGTTCCCTCAAAAGTTCTGCCGCTTGTGAGGTCCTACTTTTATTATTATAACGTCTTTCTCGATTAGAAAAAGGTCCCAGGGATCAATCCGAGGAAATTGGAAAGCACTGGGATTCTCAAACTGCTTGGGCAGCTAGTGTTGTTCAATGTCCTATCCTCTAGCACCAGAGTTCGATTTCTGCTGCTTGTGTTTTCTTTTCCGGATTGCAGTACGAGAATCATACAGTGGAAAAGATTTGTATCTCACCACGAAATGTTTTCCAAAACAGCAGTAGATATATTATAGGCTATATATAGCAAACCTTCATTGTGAAGGCGGCACACACATTTTTTCAATTGAAAGAGAATCAAAGATCAGTATACAAGTATCAAACCAATTTCAAGAACATTCTCATTAGTGTGTGCATTGCAGATCATGTTATTCTATAATTCTTTTGTCTCTGGTTATATTTGTCGGCTCTGTGGCTAAGTCGATGTGAACGCCTCGCAATGCCGGGATGCCGGGTTCAATCCCAACTGCGGGTCATGCGCCTTGCGTTGGTTTCGACAGTGGTATCAAGATAGCCGAGCGTCCAGAAAGCGATGGTAAACTACTGGACGTAAATTTGCTTAGAAAAACCATGCACCAGCCAGGGGCTGTTGGGGTTGGTTCTGCAACGTCCTGTAAAGGATACGCAACTAACCTAACCTGGTTATATTTATTAATCCGTGTAATCCCTGTCTTTTCGTGCTACCATTTATGTCGCCAAGTATTAATTTTCTCTGATTTCATCGAAAATTGTTTGCCTATAAATCATGCTAGTTGCTAAAATATTTTTCTACTTTTTTTACGGCATGTAAACTCTTCGCTTGCTGCTGAGGACGGGGACGGGGCGCTTATTGTGGTATCCCGAGTGCTGTAATATCGATTCTTCATTTAAGATTAAACGTCATATGGTATAGCCAAGAAATGTGACAATTTCCTTCATATGTGTATGATGTTTCATTTGTGTTATAAAATTTGTAAGTAAACATTGTTTTTTACTTGCTAATGATGTGTTCAATATTCTTCTGGAAAACTGTTCAGTAACTTATTTAACTAGATTAGCAGTTATAAACGTGAATTGTTTTATCGTAATTTGAATGTAACGTGCCTATTTATGAATAATAATTTAATTTATTGTTATTAACTAATTTTTTTCTAGTCATATAATGACCTACATATGCTCCCCTTGCCCTCCTTTTTTTCTCTACCATAGACATTTGTGATATCTTTCTTAAAAGCCATAATGAAATTCTTTCTTTATCTCTGTCTATCACTATAACTTGAGTTTTAAACGCTGCTATGTGAGTCTAAAGAAGTTTTGATATAAAAGCTATATGGCAGAAGGAACTATACGTATAAATGGGATATAATATGTTTATGTACCAACTGTTTGCAGTAGAACTAGGTAAGAAAAGAATACTGTCTTTAAACTATTTAGTTCCCCTTGAGCAGTGGCTCTTAACCTTTCTAATACCGCGACCCTTTAATTTAGTTCTTTATGTTGTGGCGACCTCCAACCATACATATACTTTCGTTGCTACTTCATAACCTCAACGAATATGTGTTTTGCGAAGGTCTTTGGCTATCTCTGTGAAAGGATCGTTCTACCTCCCAAAAGAAGTCGCGACCCACAGGTTGAGAACCGCTGCCCTTGAGGGTTATTAGGGTAGCGTGACCCTTTCAGGGGGAGAGGTGGAGCTTCGAGGGAGAGGGGATGGGGAAGAATAAACCCAATACTTTTGACGAGCATGTCGCAACAAGCGACTAACTAAGGGTGTAGCATTGGATGTGAAATCGGATGTGACAGTGTCTTTGTGTGCATTTCGATACGGCAAAAGTAACCATCTGCGCTATCAAATCAGCTTATGAACGCTTGTAATGCTGATGTAGGGGAATTAGTGGAGAACCACCTATTTAAGCTCACCAAGAAAGAGATGGAACCTCAGAAAGTTAGATGGAGAGATTCGAAGAGTATGAACTCAGAGGGAGGGAGATAAGAGCGATAGCGAGATAAATAGAGAGAGAAAGAGAGAGAAGAATGGAAGGTTCTTAGCATTTTTATCAGCGCAGTGAGGTGAAGCAATGTTTTCTGAAAAGATGTCGGCGTCAAAGTTATAATAAACCTTTCTACTGGAATATACGGAACCCAATACTTTTGACGAGCATGTCGCAACAGGCAACTAATTAACGGTGTAACCTTGGCTATGAAATCGGGTGTGACAGTGTTGGTGTCTCGTATCTTTGCATGAAGTTCGGTACGGCAAAACTAACGATTTGCGCTATCCAATCAGCTTGTGGGCGCTTGTAATGTTGATGTAGGAGAATTAGAGGAGAACCACCTATATGAGCTCACAAAGAAAGAGATGGAACCTCAGAAAGTTCGATGGAGAGATTTGAAGAGTATGAACTCAGAGGGAGAGAGATAAGAGCGATAGCGAATTAAATAGAGAGAGAAAGAGAGAGAAGAATGGAAGATGTTCTTAGCATTTTAATCAGCGCAGTTAGGTGAAGCAATGTTTTCTGAAAATGTATCGGCGCCAAAGTTATAATAAACCTTTCCACTGGAACAGACGGTGTTCCACTTCACAGACATATTCAGCTGCAGGTTGCGAAGAGGTGGGGTGGGGGGAGTTCCTTGGATATACTTCAGTGATATAGAAGCCAGGAAGAGTTTAGAGCGGAGTCATTTAGTGCAAGAGACACAACTGCAAACGCACCCCCACCCCCACCCCCCCCACCCCCCCCCCCCCCCCCCCCCCCCCAAAAAAAACAAAAACGAAAGTTACCTGCTTTGTTTGATACGTAGAAGATAAGTTAGTTGCGTGTCCTTTACAGAAAGTTGCAGAACAAACCCTAGCATTTTTTAACAGTTGTAGTTTTACGTTCAGTAGTTTGCCATTGTTACTGGACGGTCAGCTCTCGGTATCAGTGTCACAACCAAGGCAAGAAAAATAGTCAGCAAATGGGATCGAACCCGGCATTACGAAGCGCCTTCGCTACGCCTAAATCACAGACACCGACAGATAACAGAATAGAAGATAATCCATTCAAAAATAATAACGTCTCTCTCCGTTTCCTTCCTCGCAACTTTCACTGAGGCCGTCAACCAGCTTTCCCCAATACAGGTAAAACGAAGGTATATTTCTGTGTATATTTTATCCACACAAAAACCTCCCCCTCCCCCATCCCCCTTTTTTAAGTTTCGTGTAAGATAATGTGCACGTTCATTGATTTTTTTTTTTTTTAATGTTATGTATGAAGTACAGAGTGTCCATATCGTTTCACGTGTGTGGAGATGTTAAGGATGAGATAAGAGCACTTGTGAATCAGTTCTGAGTGTTTATGCGATATTCTTCACTAGGTCTTTACATACAAGGTCCGACAATTAAGTAATGAGACTGATTTTATTACGGCTAAGACAAAAGTGCCATCTATGAAGCAAAGCATGGAATCCAAAAAGGCAACCTTAATCTATGATCCGGTAACTTTGCATCACCGCCTGATAAGCAGACGACCAACAAGCCGCCATTTTTTACCTAGTTAAATGGGTATTGTTTCGAAATCAGCATGAAGTAAAAAAGATAACATTAGATTCTGTTCAAAACTAAGAAAAAGCGCCATTAAGACAATTCAATTGATGCGACAAGTTTATGGGGATAATTGTTTATCTGGTGCACAGATTTTCAGGTGGTATTCACGATTCAAACATGGTGTAGAAATGATTACTAATGCAACTAGACCTGGACACCCAATTTCTGTTTTTAATGTTTTCAACTCATTGCAAAAGTCACAGAAAGGATACAAGAAGATCGTTGTTTCACTTTCAGGATGAAGGCAGATGAATCTAGTGTTAATAGAGAGACACTTCGTAAAATTTTAGTGCAAGATTTAGGCAAGAAAAAAAATTGCTTGCAGGTTTGTACCACATTCGTTGTCTGATGACCAAAGACATCAGCGGGTTGAGTACCCATCGTCAAAACAGGAATTTTTGGCCCCAAAACAAGTGTGTGTTCTCAGTCTTCCACTCTATTCCCCAGGATTGTCTCCCTGTGATTATTTTCTATCCCTAAAATTAAAGTTACCATTAAAAGGACGCTTCTTAGGCGATATTGATGACATCCAAAGGGCTGTAACATCGACTTTAGGGGCCCCCATAGCAACAGAAGAACTACAGAGGTCGTGTCAGTGTTCGTTAGATCGTGCTACTCACTGTATCAATACACAAGGGGTTTACTTTGAATATAATACAGGCTTTATCTTCAACTATTGATTATTTTAATTTGTATGCAATTAGTCTCATTCCTTAATTGTCAGACCTTTTACATATTTAAAAGAAGGTTTGGTAGTTTCTTATTAGCTTACCACAACATGGGAAATCCACAGGTCACGGGAGAGTCTAACATGGCAGGTGGTGGTAGATTAAGCGTATATGTTTGGTTAGGGTTTAGGTTAGGGTTTAGGTTAGGGTTTAGGTTAGGGTTTAGGTTAGGGTTAGGTTAAGGTTATGTTTATGGTTAGGGTTAGGTAAACGCGC